GATCGCCGCACAATGTGATTTTGGAGTTTCTTAGGTTTTTTGTCCTCATGAGTGATTTATCGGCTACCACAACTGGGTTCATTCTCGAACGCAATCCACACCCGTTTGACCAGATGCAGACTGCGTGCTGCACCATGTGAAGCACGCCACGATAGGAAGACTGATCGGTATCTTGGATTCGTATATCATTTTTCTGAGTATCAGATTTCATCGGTAGGTTTTCCCAACACAGAAATTCACAGACACAGAAATTATCATGTGTTCGGATACTCTTGAAATTACTGTTTGATTATTTATGACTGATAAAACGAACCACCAAGACCTACGGAAGTGCACATATAACGGCGATCTACAATGGATTGAGTTACGGTGTGCCTACGGTAGCACACTTTGTCGTCGCGTTCTTCATATCATCGCTCATGTGTGAGCAGCTAAAGCATTCAACAAAAGGGAAAATGTATTTGTAATTTGCATTGGTTAAGAGTATCATAGTAGTAGAGAATCTCACGAAACAATGGTTGAGTTTTTTTTCTCTCTTCACTCGTTCATGATTATGTTATTAACACGTTGACGACATCGCGCGTTTTGGCTTTTTTGGCCGCGTGGGACCAGAGCGATTTTGCGAGCGCCGCCGCCTCACACAAATCCATGGATTTTGAGCTGTAAATACGCAATACTTAGATGCGACAAATGTTTTCAATGATGTTCGATGTGTCTAACTTATCGGGAGTTACAGTAATGAAGTTCGACTAAATGACGTGTTATGGCCATGAAAAGGCAAATTTTACTCAATTCAGCTTTAGTGGCTTCAAAACCATTTGGACGTGGTTGTTTCAGTAAAAACACATATCTTGCCACACGAATAGTTTGTATTCGCTTCTATTATTCTTTTTATCTACATGTTCGCGTTAATGAAAAGAAAACGAGGAATGAACTGAACAGACATTTTCGTAAGGTCTGGAAAACCTCTGCCAAACTGAAGAATATTGGCCATTCTGTAAGCCACGTGGTTCTTGGTTATGTTGATGTATGGCCTATAAAATGAAACACAAAAAACCTAGGAAGAAATCGAGCATGTGCGCAAAAATAAATGTAATGGGTGTGGCATACATAGTTGCCACAATGTCCGATGAGGTGCAAAAATGGCGGCATACATAGTTGCCGCGCTGTCACCAAGATGTTAAGTAGTTTCCTATTAACTGCCCTGCTCTATAATATCCACCTGCCAGATTTCGGGAGCGCGCCCATTGTACCTAAATAATAAATAAATACATAAATGAACAAATAAACAAATAAATAACCGATAAATTAATTCCAACCTGAAGCTCCTCTAAACTGGTGCTTCAACTCAAAGATTTTTTTGCCCCTTGCGGCTGGGGTTTTACTGTAATATCGACCAGTGCTGAATATGCTCAAGTATTTTTTCTTTCTGGGAATTCTCTATTTTTATGTAGCTCTAGGTAATAAGATTTGTTTCCGATAATATTTTCCGCCACTATGCTCCACTTCGATTGATTTCGAAAAACGACCGATCCGGAACAATCAGCGGTTCATTGTGGGTTAGTTATATCGAACGGAGTCGGATTCTGTGCAGTTTCCAGTTCTTTCTTTGCTTGAACGTTGTATTCAAACGCCTTCCACTTTTTTTGCTTCGCCTACCGACCAGTTTCCACTTTAGCATTTCTACTGACATCCATTAAAGTCCGTCCACGCTCATGATAGCTGTCTGAACCTTGCTCCAACATTGAAGTGTTATAGAGATTTGCAGATGTTCCACTGGATTCAGGCTTTTTCTAGAAAGCACTTCAGTCTGATTGGTCGCAGCACACCTCCGGCTAGGCTAGCGCCCTCATAATACCAGAGCGTAAATCCTCCATGCATCGCCACTGCTTTTTGAATGATTAGCTATTCCCGGGTGTCAAAACGGAAAATGTTCTGAAGCTGTTTTTGTAGCAATGTCCGCATAAAATGTTTCGCAATTTTCACTCCTTTTGTTTTCAGCACGTGGAAGTCGCAGCCAGCAATGCAAATGAAAGGATACGTCCTCATCATCCGGCTGTTCGAAGTGTCTCCATGTACGCTGTGGCATCCTCAAACGGACCCGAGAAGAGAAGTACGCTTCCTATTCTGATAGGGTTTTTCTTTTAGTTTTATGATTACAAAGGTTTGGTAAGATTGTTGTTATTATATTATTATTAAAAGCATATTTGGTCATTGATTCTTCCCATTATCTGCACTTAAAAAATCCTTCTCAAAAAATCTTGCATTTTCTTAACATGTATGTGTCGGTGGTGATCACTAGAGGTAACACGTAAAGTTTCACTCATGAAAATACGGTTTTCAAAGAGAAACAAACTCCGGGACACTCTACAGACAGTTGAAGGTAAGTCCAGGGTCAACTGTCCCTTCACACTATTCGAACAACTGGGTCGCATTTGTAATTTCGTGAAGGAGGGTCGTATTTTTTGGTTGAGCGAGCTTAATGGTCTTTGGAGAAGAGCAAATTTTTGACGAATTTGGTGAAACTTCTACAAAAGTGGCGTGAAGTACACAAAATAGGAGATAAATTGGAGGATTTGCCGCTTCCTTTTACCCTCCCCCCGCCCCTCCCCCTCGACAGCCATTTTGGGGGAGAAAATGGTTCGAAGTTGGGTTGTGTCGACTGGTCTCAGAATCAGTTACCAAACTACCATATAAGCAGCCCTGATGGCGAGGTGGCGGTCAGGAAGTAGGGAGGAAGGGTTCGTATTAGGGAGGCTCTTAAGCCTCATGGTGGTGGTGGGGGTCGCATCGAGACCTCTTAATAAAGTGGGGGGGGGGTCGCGAAATTTGTGGAAAAATGCGGTAGTCACCGTTGACCGTGGGTAAGTCCTGCGGAGCCAAAGGCGGGCATGGAAAGAAGTGCGCCTTGGGGCGGCTACGTATCAGGCGACGCAATGAAAGAATCGGGTTAAAGCGTGCGATTTTGGAGAATAGAGACAAATCGATCGATAGAATATGATGCAGTAGAAGTGTGAGATGTCAGTGCAATAAGTCAAAAGGTCAGAAAGAGTTTAGTTAGCCGTATCTGACAGAAAAGTTGAGCGCATAGCAGTCCTCCCAGTTTCTCGAAGTGTTTACCGGAACGAATGCAATTTTCTGTCCTTTTCATTCTTATCGTGGATGATGAGTCTCAAGCCAATGATTAAGATATTGATATCAGCTGAGATAGAGTCATGATTTTACTCTTCAGGGGAAAAAGGGAAGGAATCCTAAGAAAACGACTCAAAAAGCTTTGCCTTTCACCGGTAGATGAAAGAAAGAAGCAAGAAATAAGGGAAAGAAGCAGAAATGATGTGAGGTGAAATGATTTTGAAGGACACCCAGCGGTGCAGAGGCGAAGTATACGTGATTCAGTCCGCTTTATTGCATAAATGATTGCACAATGTGAACGACAAATACATAAGCAGTGGTTGGAGAAGTTCTAAGCCCTCAGCTCCCTTTCCACGCGTTTTGAAACGACCCAACATCGGCGTTTAAAACTGTTGTCTGGCGAGCTTGGTCCAATAATCTTATTGCACAGTGTGCCCAAACGAATGCTCGTGATAGCAATAGCATGGGGAAATACACCTGGCGGAAAGGAAGGCGGGCCCCAAACAGTGCAGGACAATGCGCATTGTGAAACGAAGCTTACCCCCCCCCCTTCAAAAAGCCAGAAAGTGTCGGGTGCAGACCATACACCACAAGTGACGACGGCCTCCACAAAATGCAAATGTTTTTTTGCCAATGAAATGATTAGCCTGTTGCAGTTGTATTCTATCAGTTGTCACTAATTACAACTATCATTTACCAGAAATCAGCTATCACTATGAACCACTACTAACCAGATTTACTTGGAGGCCGTCGTCACTTGTGGTGTATGGTCTGCACCCGACACTTTCTGGCTTTTTGAAGGGAAGGATATGTCCCCAGCGGTCGCACCCGCGCCGCTCACGCCATTGCACTCCTACCGATTTGCTGATCCATCGCTGTCTGACTCTAGTTGCTCTAACATTAGCTTTGATGAAGTTAGCACCGGTGAGACTCGTCAAACGCTCCCCACAGGCAAAAGGGTCTCATTTCTCGTGTTCTAGACCATTTCCCTGATTTCTTCTTCATCTCTGCATCAGTGACCACCCCCGCTTCGGTTTCCGAGATTGCACTTTATTCGTAAAGTGCTCCTTCAATACTAACTCTGAGGCTGATCCTAGACCTATGCATAAGCCAAGGTAGGGTTTGGCGTAGGCCGCAGCCCAAGCGTAACCTTAGCGATCAATCATGGTAGGTGAGGCAGCCATGATAACATGACCAACATATAGGGGAACATAACGTCTCTAAAGTGTTAGTAGAGTTAATAAAAGGACTGCAGGTGCTGCGTGACGCGCTTGTTAGGAAAAAAACAAAAGAAGGAAGCTGTAAGAGGAGCCCTAAATAGAGTCCCTCTTTTTGCTGCTGATTCTCCATGTTGTAAGAGTTTAACATTGAAGAATGTTGGCGCCAGGCCGCGAGACCACGGAAGTAGACGAAGAGGAGACGGAAGGTGGAAGGCTCGAACTAAAATCCCACACGTTCATCATGTTCATTCCATGGCGCAGATCACTTAGGCACGAAGACGTGGTGGGGCTACGAATGGCACACGACTGTTGCGACAAAATTTACTTTGAGACACAAACTTTGCACATCTGCGCTCACCGACTAATCTGGCCCTTCTCAACAAGGTCTTTTCGATCGGTCGATAGATAATATGGTATGTGACTCTAAGTGGACGTGGCATGGATTCATTTCCTATGTGGTCAGCTGCCGAGGTGAATCGATCTAGTGGATATTTACAGTAACAAGACACGATGTGACTTGCAAAATAATGGATTGCACTGCCGTCAGCTATTTATTGCTGGAGCAACTTGTGTTCCAAGTATCAGGCAAGCATCGTCTTAGAAGTGCAGTCGTTGCAGAAATTAGTAGTGAAACAATCGGCCAGGTTCTCGTAAAAAGCTGTGTGTAAAGTGGCACAGCGGTGCACGTCAGTGGGGGTTTTCGGCGAGCTTTGGGCTTTGACGGCACATTGAGCCATAACAGGAGCGTTGCAGAGAGCTTAAAAGGAGCGGTATTATAGCTGGCTGCATAAAAGAAAAAAATACTGAAAATAAAAAGGCCTTTTTTCTTCGGATGGGGACGAATGCGAGAAAGGAACTCCAAGTTTTTTGCGCCAAACCGGAAAGTAGGTTCAACGGCGTGACAAAGGAGTACGGAAGAGGGTCAGTCCTATCGTTGTTACTTTTTGAAAAATTTTTACGACCCCCCTCCCCCAAGGTGGATTTGGTACGACCCCCTTTTCGACACCTCGACCACCATATTCCTCTCTATAGTATTTAATTCTGGTACCACTCAACCCACCAAACTCCGCCCACTTTTTCCTCCAAAAATCAACCAATTTACCCCACTTCTACCTATAATCCCACTGCTTCATTTTCTAGGGGGGTATATACGCGCGCTGAAACGGCGAATTTTTCTCCCATGCGCTCCCAACTCACCTAGCCTACTACTCGTGAAAACTCCACTTTCACCACAAACTCACATGTACTTTCACGCGACTGAAAGTACGACCCCCGTTGTTACTAGTAACAACGTAGGGTTGACCCTGGTACAGAAGACCAACAGGACCTATGCCAACGCATTTGCAACTATAGACGTGAATAGATGCGGGTAGTTGCGTAGGTGCAAGCCACAATCTTGCCGAGACCTTGTCACGCTTACTTAGTCACGTTAGCGCGACTTTTCGCGTATGAGTTGTACAGATGGGCCATTTTCGCGATCAGTCCTTGCTGCCAGATCATCGAATAATATAAAGACTACATTGCGCACGCAATGAGCCTCCGTCTACAAATTTCTCAAGAATCCGCATGTTGAAATACTTCTAGAGAAGGCTATGTGAAAATGTGATTCATGAAACCACAGTTATGAATACCAACCTTTATTTCGAAAGGCAACTACGAAAAATTTCGCTCAGTTGTTTAAAAACTTATACTTCCACCACGTGTTTTTTGGCTTTATGTCATTATTTTCCGGCGATTTTTTTTAAATATTATTGCTTTCATTCTTTGGGTGATGGCAAAAGCAATAGTGCTGCAAGACTTCCAAAAAAAGAAAATCCTAGGTAAAGAGGGACTAAATTGTCATTTCACGCTAAAATTAGTTAGGGATCACTTCGATACGAATAGTTCCTGAAGATCCTGCCGGGTGTGATATGATACGATGTGAGGAACTTGAAATGTCTTGCGACAGAGCAGAGCGTTGTGTCATCAGAAGAGAACACAAATTTGCCAAGTCGGGTACGGAAATCAAGACATCTTGAGACGGTAATGTTCCAGTGGAAGTATTGCAGTTTGACTCTTTCCCCAGTACTTCCATGATCATCTTATTTGGGAAATGAGTTCGGCAACTTTTCACAGGAATCCATAGAAAGCGGGCCAAATTTCTCAAAAAGTAGTCCAATTCCATTGAGGGGAGCACACTCTTTTATCTCTTGCTTTGACCTGTGTCTTTCTTTCTCCATGAATTTTGTCATCACATAGCGATTCCTTCCTTCGCACCAACACATTTGAGACGAAAAAGATCAAGAGCGAGGCCAGCAGACTCGAAGACAGACACGTAACACGAAGAAAAGTGTAGGTTCTGCACACGACTAGGCAACTCTTTCCAAGGACTGATTTGCTTCTTGTCATGGTTCCTTGATGCAAAAGGCGTATTGCTCATATTCCGAACATGGATTATAATGGAAGTTCTGGAAGATAATCCAGTCTACGTCCTTTATAGCATTACTTTTGAAAAGATTTGGCTTCTGTGCGCGACAGGTAAAATTGTGTCAATTCATGATCTGCGCTTATCTCTGTCGAAAAACAATCAGGGTTCCTTAGGCATCACATCCTGCGGGACTCTCAAGGAATATTCGTAGCAAAGTGACTTCGAGCAAATTCTATCGTAAATTGAAAGTGACAATTTTGCCATTTTCGTTGCCATTCGGCTGGGACTTCCTTCTTCGGAAATCTGACACAGCTTTGCATTTTTCACCACGATATGGGAGAAAGAAAGGGGAATCGAAAGGAATACAACAGCCTGAAGTCGTCAGGCTA